AAAATTGCTGAAAATGTTGTAAAAATACATAAAGTACGTAAATGTTGGAAATTGTATATAAAATTAGCTATGAATGTAGGGATTTAACCAAAATAATTAATAAGGTATATTGGTTAACATGAGTGCAAATAACAAAAATAGATGCCAGCATCATAAAATCAAGCAGGCTGTGGATAATGCCTTAGATGTACATTTTTGATTCAGATGGTAGTGATGTCACACTCCTATGTTAAATTTTATTATATTTAATTAATATTTAGGTTGTGTTGGTAGTATTGATTAATATTTAGGTTGTGTTGGTAGTACTGGGATTCAAGAGTATATAAGAGATATCAGTTTCGTATGACCTCATTTGAGCTTTTGCTTTTGTAGTGTGAACATCGTCTTGCTGTCATATAAATCTTTGTTTCATAATTGGTAATTGGTTGACTGTCGTGGATAATGAAGAGAAGAATAGTTGGGGTGGTCAGTCAAAAAGGAAGGCAAAAATAAATGATAATATTTATTTTTTACATATGCCGACGTTTCGACCTGAAGTTCAGTCCTTCATCAGGGCTAAGAAAATAACCAGATAACAAGGTATGAGAAACGTAAGTAATGATGGTAAAAAAGATAATAAAAAATAAAAAAAGAAAATAAAAAAATTAGAAAAATAAAATAGATAAATATAAAGTAAAATGAAATTGTTAGAATAATGACTAAGAACTAAGAGATAAATAATAAAAACCGTTACAAAGTGTGGAATGATGAAGTAGGCATAATCAAAAAGGGTGACAAAAGTGTTACAATGGGAATCTTAGAATAAAATGTAAAACATAAAAAAGAAATATGAAGTTATATAAGTAATGAAAATAAATAGTAAAAATAAAACATTGAGAATGGAGTAGTTAGATAGAAAATTGAGATATTGTAAAGTCTATCAAGATGTACAGACAATGTATAATATAATAAAGAGTTAAAAACAGAGAAAAGGAATGAAAGGAAGGAGGGAAGAAATTGAGAAAGCTGAAATAAGAAAGAAATAATAGAAATACTACCTGTCTCCTTAAGTGTCGCAGGGAGAATAAAAGTCGTTACAAGGGAGGGGGAGAGAGAAGAGATGTGTAGGTGGCGTCATCTCTAACGGTTATCCGACGAAGTTGTATAACTTCATATTTCATTTTTATGTTTTACATTTTATTCTAAGATTCCCATTGTAACAGTTTTGTCACCCTTTTTGATTATGCCTACTTCATCATTCCACACTTTGTAACGGTTTTTATTATTTATCTCTTAGTTCTTAGTCATTATTCTAACAATTTCATTTTACTTTATATTTATCTATTTTATTTTTCTATTTTTTTTATTTTATTTTTTATTATCTTTTTTACCATCATTACTTATGTTTCTCATACCTTGTTATCTGGTTATTTTCTTAGCCCTGATGAAGGCCTGAACTTCAGGTCGAAACGTCGGCATATGTAAAAAATAAATATTATCATTTATTTTTGCCTTCCTTTTTGACTGACCACCCCAACTATTCCTCTCTTCATAAATCTTTGTTTATTGTATAGCTTATTTTGTTTGAGTTAGTTTTTGTAGGTTATCAGTTGCGTAGGTTATAGTTATTGCTATATTGTATAGGTTATTATTTATTTTTAAATTGTGAAGGTTAGATTTCTTATATTTATTTTTATATTATAGAGGTTATATTTATTATTTATTTTTATATTATAGAGGTTATATTTTTATTTATTTTTACATTATAGAGGTTATATTTTGTAGTTCATATTTATTATTTCTTGTTATATTGTAGAAGTTATATTTATTGTTATATTGTATAGGTTATACATATATTTTTTTTTTATAGTTCGTGCATCGTACAAGTTCACACTCATTATAAATAGATGTAGAGGAGTTTTTTCAAATGATTATAACGGTAAGAGACATGAAGATGTTTGGACCCAGGAACTATTCCTAAAAAAACCTAAATTATCTAAGCCACAAAAAAAGTGCTTACACTCGTTCCAGATGAGCAGGGAATTAATATGTATGAAACAGCTTTTCAAAACAGATTAGCGTCATTTTTCATTAGATCGCCCGATTGTATGGATATTAATTCATTTTCGGAAAGTATTAAGAAGCTCTTAGCGGATAAAATTCAAGATTTACCAAATCAACATAACTCATTAAAAGTAAATTTTTTATTGGAATGTACATTTACAAATTCTTTTGGTGAAATGACTGATAGAGCAATCAAAACACGAAACAAAGCTGTATTTAAAAATAATGATCTTGGCAAATTTATTGAGAATAGTTTTATCAAGATTATAACCCAAGCAGAGGAATCTCAATTTCAAAAAAGTGGATGGGAACTGAGTGGAGTTAGTTGATGGTATCAGATTGAGAATCAACAAAGATTTACCATTAAGAGGATCTACATATATCCCTCTCCCTACATCTATAGAATTGAAGAAAGGTTGCATTAATGTGCAGAATAATGATATCTACTGTTTTAAGTATTCTATTTTAGCAAAATTTGTGGAAAAGGATGCTCAACGTGTAGCCAAGTATAACAATTTAGAAAATGTGTATAATATAATTCCATATCATTCCCAACTTCTCTCAACAAGATAACGAAAATTCGAAAAGGTAAATGAAACATCTATCAATGTTTAAGGCTTGGATGAAAAAACAAAAATTTATCCTCTGAAAGTCTACAAAACGGAATTCAAAGACCATCGAGATCTTTTATTGCTTTCTGATGATCAAACTTGCCATTATGTCTACATAAAAGATTTTGAAAAATTAGTTGGAAATCAAATTAGCCATCATGGACATAAAATAATAATTTGTAAGCGCTGTTTCAAACATTTTGACAACCGTTATGGGAAACGAGCAAGTGAAAAACTTGAAGATCATAAAATATATTGCTCTGAAAATAAACCTATAAGAATAGAGCTACCAACGAAAGATCCTTTTATCAGATTCTCAAATGTGGAGCGACAAAGTAAAGTACCATTTGTTATCTATTCTGACTTTAAATCCATATTAGTCCCTATAAATAAACCATCATCGAATACAACTAATATCAGAGCCATGATCCGATATCGTTTTGTATATAATGTAATGTCAACATTACATTGTGTTTTTTAATATTGCCGCGAAGGTGGTAACATCACGAACTACTGACAGGAAAAACAGATGGTGGGGGAAGCAAGTCTCATAGATAGGTTAAAGGCAGAAGGTAGCCAGCCAGCAAGGAACCAGGATCTGTGAGAAGATGTTGGTCCCTAAGTAGTGAGTGTCAACTACTGTTGACTTCTACTGAAGGTTGTGGAAGTGAATGCACCAGTATAGAAGAGAAGTAGCTGCATCACAGGGTGAGTGAAGAATATATAAATGGACAGATCGAACGCGCGTCGAGATTAGACCCCGACAAATAGAATGGAAATTTATAAATAAGTATTATAATAATTAATGTATGCTTTTTATAGTATAATTGAGGATGTGTGTTAGTTGTCTAAACCCAACCTGGGAACTAATTATTGTGTGAGAAATAAATTCATTCATTCATGTATGGCACAACATCCCGTCACCGAGACTGGGCCTCCTCCAAGAGCCTCCGCCAGTTGGCTCTGTCTTCTGCTGCAGCTCTCCAGTTCCGCACACCAAGCAGGGTTCTCGCATCATAGGCCACGTTGTCCAACCATCTCGTCCTCGGCCTTCCTACCCGTCTTACGAGGTGCAGCTCCTCCATCATTATTTTTTTTGGTATTTCAAGGGTGCTCATTCTGGCCACATGCCCTGCCCACCTTAGTCTGGCCAGTTTAATATACGTGACTACGTCAATGTCTGCATAGAGAGAACTGAGCTCCCTATTTTTTCTTTTCCTGAGAAATAAATACATTGAATAAAAAACTGGTTGTTTACTTTTAAAGGGAACGAGAACATTATAACATGGCGCTCAACGTGGGGCTTTGAGAAAAGAAACATTACAATATTTTAAAGGAATTGAAGGAGTAGATTTCCCGATAACCGAACCATATTCACCTTGACGTGGTGAGAGGGCTTAAAGCTACAAGCTGAACTAAGAAAGTTGCACATAATTACTAAAATATATATAGATAATTCTTTTTAATATTATATATCTTATAAAAATAAAACCATTTTTTCAAATGAAAATACTCCTTCTCATTATCCACTTAATGTTCTATTAGTATAATAAATAATATGCGGCTTCCCTATTGGTTGGTTTACCAATTATACAATTATGATAAACATATAATGTTCAAAAGGCAACAATTTTTGAACAATTTAAAATAAATGAAACAATGTTTAAAGGCTAGAATATTCTAACGATTTAAATTTAAAGAAATAGTGTTTAAAGCCTAAAATTTTTGGCAGGAAATGGGCGCTGTCATATTGCTCCGAGGACCTGGCCCAGGATTGGTATATTCTATATACTATTATCATTTTGTGTACATACATATTTCATTATCATACATATATACATATAGATATAGAAATATTTACCTATTTTATTTTGTAATTAAATATTTGTCTACTTATGTTTACATGTATCTATTACAGTTGAAAACTCTTGACTAATTTCCGAACTTTTACAAAATGTAGTGTGAATTTCTAGATTTTTGCCAACCATACATAATCCCAAACATAATCTCAATTTTTACAACTTGTAGACAGACACCATGGAGGTAATGGTATATGTCAGGTGATACACAATAAATGAGTGTTGGTTGGTTAAGAATAGTAATCATTTGTGTTGAGTTTTCTTGCTAACATAAATATTTCAGTTTCAATATTAACATTACGTATGTTACCACAAGTTAGTTAATTTTAATAAATTAACACTCCAGAAAAATTCATTCTAAATTTATAATTTAAATTGAAATATTGACATTATATAGTGAGAATTTAAGGTCATGGTTATACTTTTATGGTATTTTCTTACAGAACTTATAAATAATATATAGAAATACTACAATTATAAAACTTACTTTATTCAACTCAGCTTCTGAAGAAAATCCAAGCCCATAAACAGTATTGGCACGTATATCTGACCACTGACCAAATTTTTGTGATGTTTTTGTGAAAGTCATGCTAGGAGTAATAGTACTATTTATAACAGCCTAGAATAGAAAGATAAATACTTGTTTCTAAAAATCATCCAAGAATTTTAACTTTATTTTTATAATGAGTCTAAGTATATATTTGTGAATATATGCACCGGGCACACACACCAGATCGACAATACTTTAAGAAAAATTAATTATCCAGTTCTACAGGTTTTAGAGTAGCTAGAATAAAACATCGGTTTCAAAACTGCTTGTTTTCAAGAAGATGTGGAAAATGATAATATATCCCTGCATATATTGGGTACAAAACTGTTTCTTTACATGAAGTTGATAACAGGTTCTTTGCATTTATAGCCTAAATACCCACAACATCAACACTAACTAGTTATTGAAAATAATTATTAGCTGTTACTTTCACTTATTTATTTTCATTATAACTTTTTTTTGTATTTTAATTTTTGTGATTACTAAGTTATCAATCTTTTACTGATGAAAGATTCTACCATTTTTGTCTAGAGAGAGAAATACAAACAAAACTGAACATAGAAACAAACCCTAAAACTTAAAGAGGTAAGTGTACCCAGTTAGATAGATTTGTTTTGTTTCATAACACAGATACCTGACCAACAGATATAAGTTCAAAGCAGTGTCACTGAAGTTCAATTCTCATCATAACATCAAGTATATAAATGTGATGAACTGTTGATGATAGATATCAATACTATTTCATCAGAGATTCTAAGAAACAAACAAGAAAATCGATCAATCTAAAAATAAACTCAACAGTGATTGCCAAAAGATGCAAAACCAGAACAAAGAGATCATCACATGTAATAATAATAGTAATAATAATAATAAGGCTTAGCGAACCCGAAGGTTCGATGCCGATACCACCAAGCAATGTCCATATTCTTCCATCCACTGGGCTTCGTCTAAACCCAACCCCACCAAATCAGCCTTAATGCAATCTCCCCACCTTTGCTTTGGTCTATCTACCCCTCGAACGCTTGCCATTCGGTACAACGCATATTAATTTTTTAGGAATTCTATCGTTACAAACCCAGTGATTTTACATGCCCATTTTATTTGCCTCAACTTAATCACCTCAATTACATTAACACGATATAGTTCATGCAATTCAGCGTTGTGTAACCGTCTAAATTCTCCGGTTGACTCGTCCTTTTCCAGTCCGAATGTTCTGCGCAATACTTTATTTTCAAAAACTTTAAGATGTTGCTCATCCCTTAATGTAAGCGGCCATGTTTCGCATCCATAAAGAACCGTAGGTAGGATAATAGTTTTGTAAATTCTAATTTTTAAGCTATTCTATTCTACTTATTCTAATTTAAGACAGGAGGCGGGAACTAAGTAATTTTGACAAAGAAAAATAACAAGCATTTCCCGCCTTCAGCCCAACCTTGATATCCTCAATTTCATTTTTTCTAGTTATCGGAGACCCAAGATACCTAAAATTCTATACGTGTTCAAAAACATTTCCTTCTATAGCGATATCATCGAAATTGTCGCTGTTTCGGCAGCTAAACATGCATTTTGTCTTAACCGTATTTATCTGGAGTCCTAGTTCTTTACCAGCTTCCATCAACGTTATTGTATTTAGTTCTATTGTTTCCATGTCTTCGCTTAACAGTACCAAATCATCAGCATACCTAGATATTGTTCCACCCAGGTTCAAACCTTTTTCGTTATGTATCACCTCTCTAATGGCATGTTGTAATGCCAAATTAAATAGCACAGGTGAAAGATAATCACCTTGTTTTAACCCTGAACGAACCTCAAATTTCTCGGGTAAATAATAACCGATTCTAACTTTATTGAGTGTTTCCATCAAGCACATCCTCAGTAGATTCACTAATTTTTTGGAGATCGCTTGCTCGATTAGAATATTATATAGTTTCTGGCAGTCAATAGAATCGTAAGCTTTTTGAAATCAATATACAGCTGGTGAACAACACAATTGTATTCTAATTTTTTCTCTAATATTTGTCGTAAAGAAAATATATTTGATCAATAGATACCAACGTTTCCTCCTAAACCCACATTGGTAGTCTCCGATAATTTCCTTGGAGTATTCCGTGATTCGATTAGTTAAGATTAACGTGAATATTTTATAACATACCGGAAGGAGTGAAATTCCTCGATAGTTATTACAATCCGTCCTCGGACCCTTTTTGTGAATCGGAATAAGAATGATTCTTTCCATTCTTCAGGAATTTCTCATTCTACCATATCTTTTTAACAAAAAATGTATTTTATAAACTCCAGCTTCTCCGCATGCCTTAATTAGTTCACTAGAATATCAGAATATCATCGGTCCCCGCTGCTTTATAAGATTTTAATTTTCCGATAGCTATTTAAACTTCCTCTTTACTTGGTTCTTCTATTAACGGTTAGGCACACTGGTACTCTAGAAGGAGAATACAGATCATTATTTCTTGTATTTAAAATATTGTCAAAGTGTTTCTTAAACTTACTCAATATGTCTACAGGGTCAGTGAGGATATTGTTATTTTCATCCCTAATTCCAGTTGTAACAGCTCCTAAACATTTACGTGAATAATTTATATCTTTTTACATGTCTCTTAAGTTGTTTTCGATTCTATTGTTTTCTATATCTATTATTTTATCTTTAAGATACGCCCTTTTTATATTTTTGAACAATTTAGTAGTTTCATTCTTTAAAGGCCCGGAAGTATTCAAGATCGTTTTTGATAGGATTATTTAGAGCTTTTATTTTTTCGCACATGTTACCAGCTTTTTTAATATTATCCATGATCCCTACTTATACCTTATCTATATCATCACCATCCTCTTTAGAAGGTTCGAAAGCTTCAAACCTATTCTTAATTTCAAGCTCAAATTGAGTTCTAATTGATGGATTTTTCATCTTCAAGATTCAGCGAATCTTTCATTGTCTGAAACAGTACTGGAAATCTTCAGTCAGATATATCGATCACGGTTTTTTATAATTTTATTATCTTTAATCAAGTTTATATTAAGTGGTTAAAATAAAAATGTTCTTCTATGTTCTGTATTTTTTAAAAAACCAAAACTTGAATAATCTCAACATGTTTAAGGTAAAATCATTTGTTTGGAAAGTCGCATAAAAATAAAATTGAAAGGAGGTGAAGTGGAACTAAAAATGGAAGAGTTTGGGTGCAAAAGAGTTTAAGAGGACAAACAAAGTTTTTAAAAAAATGGTATATATAATAATTTTTATTTTTACTTAAAATGTTAGAATTAGAAGATCTCAATTTCGTAAAATAGTTGGGACTCTATTTGACTCAGGAAATTCCAAATAAGTATTTGGTTTAAAGCAAAAAATCATTGGATAAAATGTTCTCAGGAAAAATTAAATAACAAAAACCGATGGAGAAAAAGTCCAAAATGAATGGAAAAGAAAATATCCAAGAGAACAACTCATGATAATTTCCACGATTGAAAAATTTCACATATGACAAATGACATCATTGAACAACTTTGTAGAAAACTGCTATAACATTGCAATAGCAAAAAAGAATTTCTCTATACAAGTGAATGGGTCTGGAAAAAAAGAAGGGAAAACTTGTATACTTAATGATGCTTTGTATGTACTGAATCTATATACAAATTTAGTGTCGATCAATGTGATTACAAGAAATTGAGGAAAAGCAATCCTTAATGAAAATAGTATATTGATTCAGAAGAATTCTGAAGTCATTTTGCAGGGAGAAAAAACAAGAAAATGAAAACGCAGATACTTCATCTAACAAAGAGGAAGTAACAAACAATGATAAGGAACCTGAAGTGAAGTGAAAAACTTGCAAAGGAGAATCTGACCTCAGAAGAAGAAAATAAATCAGAGGAACCAGCAAAAGGATCAAATGAAAAGGAAGAAAAGACCGTAGAACCTAAAAGAATCAAAAGATGAGGTAATGAAAGAAGAAAGGCTTGATGTAACTGAACTGCAACTTGAGAAACTTATGGAAGCTGAAACAGAAAAGCCAGATGGAAAAGAAGTCAAAATGGAGGAGGGAAAGTGAATTTAAAACCTGAGACCAATGAAAAAGAAGCTGAAGAAGTTGAAAAAGATATTTATAAATAAGAAGAATCCAAAGATTATGAAGAAGGAGAAGAAATTGAAGAAGGAAAGGAAGTAGCACCACGACGAAGATTCAAAAGCTGCTGAAGAAAAAAATGATGACATGAATGGTATTGACAATGAAGATTCCGTCAACTTGACTTTAGGTAAGGAAGAGGAAAAACTGATAGCTAGTAAAGTAGATCTTTAGACAAAAGATGGGAAAGACTCAAAGGAGCAGAATCAGTAACTTCTCATCACCCAGATAGAGCTGCAGATGAGAAAGACAAAAAGTTATCATAGGAATCTGTGGGTCAGTAGTCTTTCCTCTATCATCCAGACTACTGATCTGAAACGTTTGCTCTAAACGTGGAAAGACAGTGGCTGCTAAACTTGTTAAATATGCTAAAACTCCTAATTCCAGATGATAAAGTTTTGTGACAATGGCAATAATTTAACTGAACTTCATGGACGATTTATCTTAGTTGCAGCCGTAGCTAATCGTTCAACATCGTGGGCTAAGAAGCCTGTTGAAGATCAGAAAATTGTTGAAAGGAAGAACTTATATGAAAAAATGAAGCCTGAAGAATGGAGAAGAGTTGGGGATAAAAGAAGAACAGAATAGAAAAGGAAAATAGAACTATCGCTGAAAAGAAGAAAGCATTTTAATTCAGAAACATTAGTACCACCAGGAACAGATGATATGAAAATGGTGATGCTAATGACTCAAATAAGGTTGTATCTGCCAAAGAAAATTCAGAAGCAGAAAGAGGCACTGAAACAATACGAGCTAAATTTATTAGTGATACTGAATGTTGTAAAGAACTTCTATGCATAAAAAAAATTTTCAAAGAAATCAAAAATAATGAAATAGAAACGACAATGTAACAACAATCAACATGAAAGAACAGGGATTTGAACAAAAAAAGTAAGCATACTGATGATCAGTATTCTTTTATGTAAGACAATTCTGATAAGAACATTGTAAATTTTGATTATTGTGCAAGCGATATGCTGATAGCTAATTAACTAAGCCACTTGGCAAATTAAAATTTGAAAAACTGAATGTAAATATTTATATTTCATTTTTCTTTACTTATACTTGTAAAACAAAAAAAATTAACCTTTGCTTATTATTTATTTATTTGAATCCTACCGTGCCATTGAGGCAATACGGGTATTGCAGAACTGGGTCATTACACTTCACTGCATAACTGCCTGCTTCTGCAGTGAGACCAATTTTCATATTTTTATCTGCTGTATATGGTCTTATTCTGCTCCTCCTCATTCTTACGGCATCCCTGGTGGGGGAGTTTTCTTGCGTAACTAGCTGAGAGAAATCATTCTCTGTAAGAACATAGAGACTGGTCTCCCTCAGCAATTTGGCCCTTAGTGACTCAAAGGCGGTGCAGTTCATTATAATGTGCTCAGCAGTCTCCGGAATTTCACAGCTAGGGCATAGGGAATAGATGTATCTTCCAAAGCCATGGAGCTTGGTGCGAAAGCCCCTATGCCTGTAATCCGGGAAGATCCACTTGGCTTCCAAACGTGATTGAACAGTGGGAAAGTACTTCCTCAAGGTGGCCCCTTTCTGACTTGTCACCCACTGTTGATTCCACTCTTCAATTGCATCATCCCGGATGATAGATTTCCATTTTCAGGGGTTTTCATCAATCTTCACTTTGAGATTTTCTGGTAGACCTGTTAAAAAACTTCTTTTCCATTTATGAACTTTTCATGTACATCGTCTTATTTCCATTAACTGTAAGGCCCAGTTTAGCCGCTGCCTTTTCGAATTCCTGAAAAGTTCCTGATAATTCTGCTTGGGTTCTAGAGATAATGACAACATAATCGGCATATGCCAGATCTTGAGACAGACGATTGTAGATGGTTCCTCCTGGATTTGTTCGAATAGAATGAATAGCCACTTCCAGGGCTAGATTAAAAAGAAGGGGAGATAGAGGATCACCTTGTCCTTATCCATTATCCACCTCAAATTCTTCTCATAGCGAATTTGCAAGCTTCACTCAACAGGCAGTCTTCATTAGCATAATTTTTGTTAGTATTACCAGTTTCTTGGGTATGCCTACATCTATCATAGATTTAAAAAATCCCTTTTGGTCTACAATTATCAGTAACAATTATAATTACCTTTGCTTATACTTATAAAAATTAATAAGAATAAAATTCAGGTCTTATGTTAAAGTAATTCTATTTTTACTATATCGATCATGTTGTTTGTTATATATAAATCAATTTTGTGAATCTTGATTTTTAAAACCATGTGAGCGTTTACATTATTATCATCTAACAAGTTTCTATTATTTGATTAAAAAAAATTGTTGTTCTTCTATGTTCTGTACTTCTTAAAAAACCCGAAACCTGAATAATCTCAACAAAGATTACATTATCACACTATTTGAGAAACGTTGAACGTAGCCAAGTGTCTGTCTTTTGACATTTTAGGTTAGATACCAATTCCAACAAAATTTCATTTTTCAAATTGACCATTATCATGACACACAATACTATTTTGTATTATTAAATAGCATGTAGGTTATATCATGCATTGAATATCAAATTGAACAATTTTTAAGTTTCCGACATATGATAATCATGTTTCTTGGTTCATTTTCAGGTTATTGAGCATAACTTAAAATCACAATGATTGTAAAAGTTGGAATTTAATTAGAATTATGGATACTAAAGTAAGGAAACAAATTTTAAGTTAAATCATAGAGTGCTACCATTGGGTAGTTACTCAGCAAGTGTATTCATATCATTATATCAATTATGTCCAAATTTACTTGATGTATTTATGTAATACAGTTGTAAATGTCATAAAGAAATAAAAAAAAAAAAAAGTTAAATCAGTATCTTCAGACCAACATAACAGTGCAAACAAAAATAATTTAAAAAAAAAATCAAGATTACAAAAAAAATATTATTTCTCTGTTATTTTTCAATACTACACTAAAAAATCTTATAAATTATATTTATTTAAGTTAACTGAAATAAAAATTATAAAAGTGTTCTTTTTATAGTAAAATTACACGTTTTAATAAAATCAATTGTCATTTCACAAACATATTATTGAAGATTATTTTCTAAATACTACATTAAATATTTCAAACCATATTTTAATAAATGGTATCTGGATGTACTTTACAGCAATAAGATTTGTAACAGTCCTTTTACAGAAATATATCTTAATGTATGTACCTAACCTTTTTATAATAGGTTACATAAATGATTAAATTGTACTTATATCTTCAGAACTATTTATTAAGTCTGATTTGTTTAGTTGTTTATGTTGGAAATGTAAGTTAACATAACGTGTAAAGATATACACATTAGGCTGTCATTGGCGTTCAATGAACAGTGTGATCATGTGATTTTATACTCATCTATCATATAGGGGTGATACTTATGTAGAAGTTCTCTTCAAGGTATTCCAAAATAAAAGCCAGATAATATGAGATAAAATAAAAATAAGAGATAAATTGAATGATAATAGCTTGGGACCACAGATTTTAAGACAATGAAAAATATCTGGTGTGGTGCGTGCATCACAACTTTCACTTACCACAATTTTTTCAGGAGAAATAGGTATTTTCAGGCAAAGGGAAGTGAAAGTAAAAATTATAGACAGTACAAAATACTATTTAAAACGATTAATTATCATGTATTTTTCACAGTCGTCTAAGGTATTATATTTGTGTTTGTTTTTTTCCACTAACTCTTTTTATGACTGTATATTTTAATTATTTATTCATATTTCATTGCAGGTATTTTTATTTGTTTTCATTGGTATATAAACACATTATAATTTTTATACATCTGTTATCTATGCAATTAAAAATCAAATAATGCCAATTCTAGCATTTATGAAAACTGCACCTGTATATGTAATAACAATGTTATTGAAGCCCTTCTTTTATTAAGCATGTGTTAGGTATGGAAACCTATTGGAACCTTTTGGCCAAGCTCAGGTTCCTTTGATTCCCTATTACGATCCCGTGTTTCTAATTATTATAATTATATATTCCTTTAGTTAATTATAAAATTATCTTGTATTTTATATTTAACCATTTTTCATAGCAGATTACAAAGTGAAATGGTTAATTATATCAAATTAAAAAAAATAAAGCTACTTTACGATAAGAAATATTGAAAATTAGGCATTTAAGACCTGTTAAAGAACATGAATGAGAATAAAACCTAAATTATATTAAAAACTGCTTAATTTTACAGTGATATGATGAATTTAACCAAAATCTTAATTCAAAATTTGTCATTATCCCATACTTTCCCTTACTATATATTTTATAACAATGAGAAATAGACCAGAGAGTAACATGGCATTATCAATACACTAAAAGGATCAAAATTAGTTTGGTTAGTTAGTTTAGTTACGAGAAGAAGACTTGGCTTAAGCATGTGCTCATATCAAGAACACGATAAATAAAAATAATATCATCAAATAAAATATTCTTCTGTAAATCATACATAATTTAACCCATATCAACTAACTGGAAATATATAAACAAGATTTCAGATATATACAATACATTAATGTTTACAACTGGATGATAAAAGGGAAGATAAAGGCATGTAAAATTACAAAGTGGTCTAATTCGATAACACTGGATATGGGAAACAATTTAGAGGTTTTTTTTTTTAAGAAATGAAAGTCACATATAACAAACCACCCAGATATGTGATGAAATATTTCAATACGTTCCCAACCTAAAATACAATTATTTGGGATGAATATATCTAACTATTTGGTTTTATCAATCATTTCCAAGAGAGTAATGCATGAAATATAAGAAAAATAAGTTCAGAAGAAGATAAAAAAAACCTAAGAGTCACAAGGAATGAATATAAGAAAATACTAACTAAACAAAAAATAGAAAAGAAAAAATATACATACAGAATCAGAAATGGAACATGCAGTCAGAGAATAAAATAAAAATGAAATTCATACTGGACATAGCCAATTGGAGGGAGAATGTAAAAAATCACTTTTATCCGTTTTTTCTCACCAAGGAGAAAACAATAAAAATTCTAGTACTTTCAAAATTTATTGCGATAAAATCAAACACTGAAAAAGCATTATACCTACAGAGTAATATAAAATACTCACACATCAAAACAAACAAAAATTAGGATTAAAAGCATTATATCCTCTTTCATGAAAAAGATCCAAAATACAAGAAGATAAGGAACAAAATTAAAGATTAAACCAAGAAATTGAATTGCTATTATATTGTGATATTAAGGGTATTTACATCAATATCCCACCAAAGCGGATAACTTCATATTGGGCTCATTTATTAACACACTACAAAGCTCATTGATGGCATCAGATCTATCTAAATACTGGGAAAAACCATGTCATTCCTTCTTTCTGGAGTTTATATATTTCTACATTTTATGTTTGACTAATGTTCGCAAATAAAAATTTCTACCATCAAAAATTAAAACACTAAAATTCAATATTAATAGGTAGTGTACAAAATCAAGATATAAGTCTAATGACTAATCGAAAAATATATTGAAATCTGAAGAGAATAATCAGAACCTTTAGTTAACTTCATTTACATTGTATAAAATTAAAATAATAACAGTAATACAACAAAAACAAATAACAGTAACTAATTCATTGCTTACTTACAATGCTCTAAGTTATAGATTTGCATTGTGAAAATAAAATGTTAAGTTTTAAAACTCTACTCACCTTGGTTCCTTCTACACTGATAATTCTGTATAAACTCCGGGAAGAATCATAAAAAAAAGAAACATTGACAGCAAGAGTAGAAGCAGGTATCCAGGACCTCTTTGTTTTAGGATCAATGTGAAAGACATGGGCCTTACAAGTAAATATTGGTTGTTCGCTTAAAGAAACAAAAAAAAAATTCAAAATTAAAACTACTATTTTTTTTCCAGGCTGTCATTAGTTGTGATTTAAAATAAATAACTAACTAGAGTAAATCAAATAATAAACTAACCCCATTGCATCTTTCCCTGATGTCATCCTAAGTTATACTTCAATGTTAGTAAACAACAAAGAATATTTGTCAACATAAAACCTAAACACAAAATATCATCAGCGCCTGGTTGAAGATTTACCGGCCATAGTCGCTGCCAAAGCAATAACTGTTCAATCCAACATCGATATCGAAAGTAAAATTGTACCTAGAGCAAATTCAGAGGAATGTCAACAAACTGGCCTATATATGTTTTTTAAATTTAAATTTGTAAACTGCAATAACAGTCTATTTTGATCTCCTTGATTTGATCCAAGATATTATATATAAAATATGTTAAGCATTACAATTTTTTTAATTTATACTCATTTGCAAATGAAGCGGATCATTTCATTGACTAATTACAAAAATGATGAAAAATCAATATTTTTCACATTTCACACCTGTTGATTGTTTACAATCGCAATAGGGCTAATTCCTTTGAAATAAACTCTCTCAAACATAAACTAAAGAAGGGAATATCATTACTTTAATTCGTTTACATTTAGTGTTCACTTCACTTTATTTCTCTTAAACCAAAATATTTTCACTAACTATTTTTAGTATTTGATATTAAATCTTTTTAAATTTTTTTCTGGGTATTAAAGAGTGTCTGCACGACGTCTTACAGCAGTAGAGCTTCCAACAGCTGTTTCTGCTCCGGAAGGAGGTGATACCCAGAGAAATGTTGAAGCAAGACTACGAGCCCCACAATTTTGGTAAGTCGCTCATAGAGACATTACCAGAATAGTGCTTCCTTTGAATATACATATGATGGAGGACGTCAAATATCTACAACAGTACAAGACCCATTTTTGGCTGTCCGGGCATAAAGGAAGGTGGAAAAGGTACGGCGGGAGATGTTGAATACATGTTTTTTCAGGAAAGCGTTTGATCAAAGGTTATTCCTAGGTTTTTGATAGAGGGGTAAAATTTGATAGGATTATCATGTAGGAATAGAGTTGGAATATGAGTTTTAAGGAGGTGGTTGAAACCAATTAAGATTGTCTCTGTCTTTTTCGCATTCAACTTCAACTTATTGGCTCTCGTCCACTCACAAATCTTATCCTAGTATTCTTGAAGTTTTTCTGTGGCTGCTAACAGGTCGGAGGGCGGGAAGAACAGGTATATTTGGAAATCATCTGCATAGATATGGTATTGAGAGTGACGGATCAGGAGTGGAAGGTCATTAATGTAAATAGCAAACAGAGAAGGAGATAGAGAGGAACCTTGAGGGACTCCACAGGAGAGAGGGAGGATCTTAGACGGAAGTTGACCTGGGACGACTACATACTGGGACTGATTTGAAAGGAAGGATTTGAACCAACGCAGGGCCAAATTCCGTATTACAAATCCAACATAATTTAGATCAAATACCTCGTACCACACATCGGGCACATGCCCCTCCCAACAATCGTAGTCACATTAATTACCCATCGAATCCTACTGACCCAAATCCACTTCACAGCGAAAAACCATCCGCCATCAATTTTGTCCTTTCTAGGTTTCTGATAGATCTTCAAGAGACTATCAAACCGCTCATTACCCTCCTCACTATACTCCTTTCCGGAATCCCGTTCAACTTCCCTCGATGAACACAAAGCCCCTAGCTATCCTTTTATGGAACGCTAATGGACTACTTAACCATCGAGACGAACTAGACTTATTTTTCCGCGACAATCACATAGATATTGCCCTTATGAGGGAAACTCACTTCACTCAACGGACGCATTTCTACATATTTGACTACATCACTTACAGATTTGACCACCCAGACAACACTTCCCACGCCAGTTTCTGCATTCTTTTACATAAATCTTTATCCCATTCCCTTGTTCCTTTCACTCCAACTGATGCCATTCAATCGACTTCTGTAGTCCTTTTAACTCGCTCTTTCCATCTCACATTTTCGGCTGTATACTGTCCTCCTGGTAATTACCTCTCCTATAACCTCCATAAAACCTTATTCCAATCCCTCGGATCGTGCCTTATTGCTGAAGGAGACGACAATGCTAAACACCAACGATGGGGTTGTCTCAAGATGGCCGCGTGAACTCCTTTTGTAGACATATTATTAGAGTGCTACCAGTGGTTAGTTTCTCAACAAGCGTTTTCAAGTGATTATGTTTCTGTGTACACATTTACTTGATGTATTTACATTAATACAGTTGTAAATATCATAAATAGTTTAAAAAAAAAAATCCAACAGTATTTTCATAAAAATCGCCCCCCAAAACATATTAGTCCACCCTATTATTAATTAAATCCGAAAAGTCGATGCCCGGGGGCACCATCTCAATTCCGAAAGTATTTTCATAAAAAATGTCTCCCAAAACATATTAGTTGACCATCATATCGATTTAAACTGAAAAGTTACAAAAACTCGATGCCCAGGGGCTCTATCTCAAATCTGACAGTATTTTCATATTATGCAGTCCTTAAAGCCTAATATCTGACCCTAACATTAATTAAATCCGAAAAGTCGATGCCCGGCTGCGTCATCTCAAATCCGAAAGTGTTTTCAAAAAAAGCGTCCCCCAAAACATAAAATCGACCCTCATATCGATGTAATCCGAAAAGTTACAAAAAGTCAATGTCCGGGGGCGCTATCTTAAATCTGACAATATTTTCATAAATGCGCCCCCCCCCCTCCGAAACATATGAGTCGACCCTAATATTAATTAAATCCGAAAAGTGAAAAGTTACGAAAAGTCGATGCCCGGGGGCATCATCTCAAGTTTTTTCATAAAAAGTGCCTCTCAAAACATATTAGTCGACCCTCATATCGCTTTAATCTGAAAAGTTACAAAAAGTCGATGCCCGGGGGCTCTATCTGAAATCCAACAGTATTTTCATAAAAAGCGTCCTTCCATCTCTTCTGTGTTGATATTAGGAAATAGTTAATAGGGATTTGGAGTAAAGAATGGCGATTCTTCTCCCGTGACTTGAGCTGAAGTACTCAGTTGGTTTGCCATGTCTACAGCAGGTGGTAAGTGTTCAGGTGCTTTACCGGCGAACTTTTAGTGATTTCAAGACTTTTTGATCTCTTTTTTGGGTGCTTTGGTTTCACTCGGCATTACCAATATCGCATTTTATATTAAAGAGATCAGATAAAAAAAAATTATTTTTGTTAAAAAAAAAAAATGTTTGTACAACTACGTATATGATTACGCGAACTTGAAAGAACAGAGTGGCACAGCGACCACTCCAATCGCAAGCAGTGTAGCCACTGAACGGATTATGGCCGTTCCGTGACTATCTCCATCCTTAGTCTGTTTACAGTGTTCACTGTATCGATAACAAACAAGAGATCACTCATCTTATTTATTTCCTCCTTCGAGATTATTCGTCAATGTAACGGTTTCACTGATAAAAAAGTTCCTAAACACAGAGCGACCTAACATACGTTCACTAAAGGCTGGTGCATGCGCAGAACTCTACAACCTGACTAGATTCAGTAATTTTTTGGAGAACCCCTGGTCGATTAGAATATTATATAGTTTCTGGTAGTCAATAGAATCTTAAGCGTTTTTGAAATCAATATATAGCTGCTGAACAACACCGAAAAGTTAAGAAAAGTTGATGCCCGGGGGCACCATCTCAATTCCATCTCAAGTTTTTTCATAAAAAGTGCCTCCCAAAAAATATTAGTCGACCCTCATATCGCTTTAATCTGAAAAGATACAAAAAGTCGATGTCCGGGGGCTCTATCTGAAATCGGACAGTATTTTCATAAAAAACGTCCTTCCTGTTTACAGTGTTCACTGTATCGATAACAAACAAGAGATCACTCATCTTATTTATTTCCCCCTTCAAGATTATTCGTCAATGTAACGGTTGCGCTGTTTTTTTCAATCAAAAACTGCAGTGTTTCACTGATAAAAAAGTTCCTAAACACAGAGCGATCTAACGTACGTTCACTAAAGGCTGGTGCTTGCGCAGAACTCTACAACCTAACTAGATTCAGTAATTTTTTGGAGTACCCCTGGTCGATTAGAATATTATATAGTTTCTGGTAGTCAATAGAATCTTAAGCGTTTTTGAAATCAATATACAGCTGCTGAACAACACCGTTTTACTCTATTTTTTTCCTAAAATTATTATTCCTCTAAATTTTTCCTCCTAAACCCACATTGGTAGTCTCCGATAATTTCCTCGCCGTATTCCGTGATTTGACTAGTTAAGATTAACGTGAATATTAAGCGGGATAACGCGGAAGGAGTGAAATTCCTCGATAGTTATTACAATCCGTCCTCGGGCCCTTTTTGTGAATGGGAATAATAATAGATTCTTTCCATTCTTCAAGCAATTTCTCATTCTTCCATATCTTTTTAAGCAAGAAATGTATTTTATAAGCTCCAGCTTCCCCACATGTCTTAATTAGTTCACTAGGAATACCATCGCTCCCCGCTGCTTTATAAGATTTTAATTTTCCGATAACTATTTTAACTTCCTCTTTACTTGGTTCTTCTATTAACGGTTCGGCACTCAGGTACTCTGAAGGAGAATACAAATAATCATTTCTCGTATTTAAAATATTTTCAAAGTGTTTCTTAAACTTACTCAATATGTCTACAGGGTCAGTGAGGATATTGTTATTTTCATCCCTAATTCCAGTCATTACTGGTACTGAACATTTTCGTGATTTATTTGTACCCTATGTATGTATCTTACAATGCTTTCGAGTCAATTGTTTTTTATATCTATTATTTTATCTTTAAGATACCCTTTTTTTATTTTTGAACAATTTAGTAGTTTAATTCTTTAAGGCCCGGAAGTATTCAAGATTGTTCGGGATAGGATTATTTAGAGGTTTTATTTTAGCGGCTATTATTTTTTCGCACATGTTTAAGCAACCTTCATCAAACCACAATTTGTTATTTTTATTTTCCTTTTTTCCAAAACACAAGTTACAGGCTACTTTAATATTATCCCTGATCCCTACCCATAACTTATCTATAGCATTTCCAAGTCAATTTCAACCTTTTCCAAATCAAATTCAACCTTTTCCAAGTCAAATTAAATCTTTTCCATTTCAAATTCAACCTTCTCCATTTCAAATTCAACTTTCGAATTTTTGTCAATTTTCGATTTTTT